TTTCAGGTGAATTATTTGACTCTCATTTCAAACTCCGACCATCTTATTGTTTTTTAATGATTTTTAGTTATTAATAATTTTTGGGTGAACATTGTTCTTTCTTTCAATTTGTGTTATTCCAAATGTGACAGTATTAAGCACTTGAGTGATGCTTTGTTTTATTAATTCCCATGTTAAAAATGAAATGATGAAATTGTTCCAAAAAAAAAATCGAGCAAAGTACCTCCAACGATTTCAGCAGTAAGTGTTTTAATGGTGGAAGGAGATGAATAAGATTAAACATATGGGTTTGGGGTTTTAATTGAGTATGAATTAATTTGGTTTAGTGGATCAGGTTTGGATTAAAAGAGAAACGGGTCATTTTAATTGAAATTGAGTAATTTTGGAAATTGTTCCAAAAAAAAAATCGAGCAAAGTACCTCCAACGATTTCAGCAGTAAGTGTTTTAATGGTGGAAGGAGATGAATAAGATTAAACATATGGGTTTGGGGTTTTAATTGAGTATGAATTAATTTGGTTTAGTGGATCAGGTTTGGATTAAAAGAGAAACGGGTCATTTTAATTGAAATTGAGTAATTTTGGTTGATTTGGGGCTTTTCGTCAAATGAGGGGTATATATGGTGAAATTAGTAACGGCAGGGGTAAAAATAACTTCACTTTAACGGTAAGGGCATAATCAACCAATAAAACAAAGGTGAGGGATATTTTTGACCCTTTTCCCATATAATTATAATTTACTCCTAGACTCGATAAAAGTTGCTATGAATACAATCTCAAATTATTGGGAAGAAAAAAGTAATACTAGCATTTAATATATATGACAACACAATAGCTTGACCACAAGACTTTTTATTTGCTTTTACGCTGTATTTTTAACTTTAATAAATCTTATATAACGTGAATTTAGATTAATTGAAATGTTAACCCCTATACCAAAGCATGAACATGGATATTTTCTTACTTAATTAAGAAGACTAGCCACAATAATTTGTGATAGCGTCGTTCGGATAATTTTAGCATCTATTCAAAATAAATAAATTTTTGACACTTTTTTATTGTTTTAAATAATGAATCTTTTAAAGCTCAAATATGTATTAATTTTATTTTATTTTTGAGTATGATGTTAAAAAATGCACATGATCCATGATGCATTTCTTCTTCTATTTGAAAGACAACCAATCATAATTAATTTAGAATTACATAAATACGTGTAATATATATGTGTAATAATCCCCAAATCATACGTAAGGTTATTTTTTCTTCTAGCATCCCATTGCTGATGAAAGAACAAAATGTTTTATGTCTTGGTTTAAAAGACCAAAATCACAAATGGTTTTCATGGATTTAAGTATGTTTTCATACCTAGTTTTATGTTCATGATGATTTGTCATGATATATGGATGTGAAAAAGATAATTGTTTCCGTCTTACAAGTTTTATTTGGTCATAATCTGTGGTGGAGTCAAAGTGACAAGTCTGCTCCATAAAACTCATATGTCATGTCACTTAAATCTAATGGGCCGAAGGGAATCATGTTCCTATCACAGTTCTTTTATTCTAAAAATATAAATAGGGGTCTTCATAATTCAGAAAAGGGACCAAGAATTCTAACAAGAAGCTAGTGAAAAGCTTGTGGATCAAAAGTCACAAATTTCTCTACAAGCTACAAGTACAAGAATTCAAGTATTCAAGTATTCAAGTTCAAGAACAATCAAGATCAAGACCAATGGATTCAAGAACTAGCTCGAAGCCCTTGAATTCAAGTAAAAGTCAAGATGAAGATAAAGTTCAAGTTCAAATTCATCAAAGATTCAAGAACAATCTCTAAAGCCTTTGAATCCAAGATAAAGATCATCAAGTTCAAGTCCATATCAAGTTCATCAAATTCACAAATCAAGATCAAGAACAAAATTCAAGATCAAGCTCAAAAGCCCTTAAATTATATCTGAAAAGACGAAACCGAGTAATGATAGAGATTGTAACACTCGCACTTTGAAATCAACAAATATGATTGTTGCATTATTTTCCAGTCTTGATTATTGTTTTCTCAACGCAAATTTTATTGTCTACAAGATTTTTAAGGAAATCTTCAATCTTTGTTACAACATTTAAAAGTGTGGTCTGAAGAGGAGAAAAGATGTATACATATTTTATTTCTATCTTCGTGAGGTAAGGAGAATTTTTTGAATTTATAGATTCTCAACTCAAAAAAAAAATATTCAATGCAAAATTATAAGAAAAGAGACAACAAAACAATAAGATATAAAACAAATATAACAACGGATAGTAATACACAACAAAAAATAAGAAACTATATATGCTATAACTAAATAAATATTGCTAAAAGAACAAGAGAAGGCTAGCCAACTAGGGGTGTGCATCGGTCGGTTCGGTTCAATTTTATGTATTATCAATTTGGTTTATCAGTTTTTGATTTTTAAATACGTCAAACCAATAACCAAATCAGTAAGATATTTCTTATCGATTTTTGATTTATAGGTTTTGGTCCTAACTGTTTTGTTTTCGGTTTAACCAATAAGAAAATACTTATAAAATAAAATATATGACTTCTCTAATAAATTTGACGCGATAACACAATAATGTAACTTTACAAATGCTCATAAAATATAAACAATAATAACAAAAATTATACAAGTGTAACATAAAAAAGAAGAGGAATATGGTTCTGCCAACTCCCACTCCACACCTCTTCAAGCATTGTTCAACAACCTAAAATATGAATATTCTATGGTTCTTCAAGAGAGAAATTTCAAGTCCTCCTTTATATATGATATATGATATGAAACGGGTAAATTATTATACTAATAATTATAAGTATAAGTATGGAAATAATGAATTGATAAAAACTGACTTAAATATCGAACCATAAACACTTTTACACCTTAGGTCTATGCAATACTTTAGGTTAAAGTTGTTTTGTCCTAAAGTTACTTGAACTTGCAACAATGGGCTCCTAACAAGTTTTTTTTCGCTTTTCGCTATTATGTGCTTAGATAAAGTCAAATTTTGAAATTTATGATTCTGAGTTTCTTATCAAATATATAACTCATTTTAATTACTGAATTCATGATTAAATATTTGTATATATTTATTGAAATTTCTAATATATATTTATATACAAGATCTAAGAAAAAATTATTGAATTAATTTGATCCTTATTTATTATAATCCGCACCCGTACGCTAGCTCACTTATAACATCCACACAAATTAATCATACCTCACAGTGTAAGAGAGATTTCAAAATTGAAGAGGAATGAGAAAACTCACAAAATTTAAGATCAATAATTTCAAAACTCATACAATCATATAAATATTTAATTATATATAAGATTATAAATTTCAAAAATATTATTACTTTCTTTTTAAACATTTATATTCAGTGAAACTACAACAAACAAAATCATAGTAAACCATAAAATAGATAGTTCAAAATCAAATTTGTTCCATAGAAACACTAGAGAAATACCAAATTAAAGATTCTTTACATTTCTATCTTTTCAAGAACCAAGCTTGCAAATTAAACCAAAATATACCTAGTGACATAAAATCAACCCTCTCTCCCATAATCAAAACCTCTCATATTAAGGAAAAATAAAAAGATTTCAACTCCTCATGTTCTTCATCTTGTACCAACCCTTCTTGCAAGAATCTCCCACAATTTTTACTCCCTTCTTGAAAATGATCTTCAACTCTTGTGTTCTCTCCTTCACTTGCTTCTCAAAACTTCCCATATTTAACTTTCCCTATAAAAATATATCAAAAATATCACAAAATCAAAACCCTAGAAAAGACAGAAGGGCGAAAACCGTCTTATCTTAGAGTAAGGATAGTTCACTTTAAATTTTTTTTATAATCAATAAGTAAGACATTTTAACATTTCAAATGAGAAAATAATTAAATATGAAAGAGTTCTTTTTTTTCCATCAAGATAACTTCTTTTTTTAAAAAAAGTAAATCACAATTAGATAAAATTCAAATAAAATAGAAAATTCAAGACAAACTCTAACAGTTATAAACTTGCAATAACGATATATTCTTACCAATATCTTAGCGACTTCTATGCAATGCAATAATTTTGTTGGCTTAGAGTAGCAAGCAAGAACTTATATGCACAAATATTTCTTAGATGTGAAGAGAATGTTCAATCAAAAAGTAAAAGTTTTTAAAGGAGTTGGGCTACGTGGGATCCAACTCATAACGTACATTATGAGTATTTTAGAAGATATAGACGTGAAGGGAGTGTATATCATTTCTTTAGTTTTTTTTTTTTAATATATACTTTTTTTAATTATACTTTTATCGATTTAAAAGAATGACATTTGGTCTTTAAAGGTTTATGAGCTATTGTATAAAAGTAGGTTTATTTATTGTACGTTCATTTTTGAAGGATAGTAATTGCGGGTTTTCTTGAGGTTTCAAATCCTGCTTTAGTTGCACTACAAGATGATGGTTATTTAATTTAGTGGGTGTTTGATCATGTTTTATTATGAAATTTGGTATAATAATAATTTTTTTATTGTTAAAATGAAAAATGATATTTGATAATTGAAGTTGTGTTTGGCAATGAATACAGATTAAAATTATTTTTTTACTTTTTGTAAGGAATTTGAAGTGAAATGATTTCAAATTTTATTTTGTTATTTTTCAAATTCTTGAAAATTCAATTTCATTTTTTTTCTGTCAAACGCCTCCTTAACTTTTGGTACAAAACTGTTGGAAAAGAAATGCTTTATTTCAATTTATGCCCTTGAAGACTTTATTTGTGCTTTTCTTTTCCCTTTAAATAAAGTTGTTGCATAATACAACATAACAAAGACTCAAGAACCAACAAGATTATGGTGGAGTGGTAAGTACTCCTTCATTTTTAATCAAGAGGTCTTAGATTCGAGTCTCCTTGGGTACGGAGTCGCCTTTGTTAGGGGAACACTTTATCCTCAATGTGGGACTTCTCGACGCGAATCTAAATTTAGTCGGGTTTCAATGGTAAAAGATTTAATCAAATCAGTATTTTAATTTTATGAGATGTAAAATGATAGGCTGAGGTGATTGACTTATAATTTTTGGTTGATTTTAATTTAATTTACAAGTACTTGTATGATGATGAGCATTGTTTTGTGTTTATGTTAAATTGAGTTATGATTTTGATGATTAACAAACAAACATGAACAACCTATTTATTTTGATGGAAGGAAACAAATTCCTTGAAAACTTGAAAAAAAAAACATATCATTTCTTTTGAATCAAATCCCACCAGCCAAGTAAGTACCAACTTCAATTATTCTCTTATGATATTATTCACATGATGTCACATGGAAAATTTTAGTACTAAAGGGTTCAAAATCTCAATAATTTAACAAGGGAGGAAATGCAACATGACTCAAGCATGATGGAATATAAACTTCATTATTATAGCAAGAATAATGACCCCATCTATTCCCATCCAAAATTACCAAAACAATTAATTAAGGACGATAAAATTAGTCGATGAAAACATGATGGTCTTGCAACCATTGTCAACCTTTAAAATGGGAGGTCTTGAACTTTTTACCCCTACTTGATTCGTGGTTAAAAGTCAAAATGTTGGGACAAATTTTATTCAAATTGAAGGTTTGCTTATGGGGAAAGTGGGGGCGAAAATTCAAGACACCACACACTTTCAACGTCATTCTTGTAAATCACCCGATACTGCAATCAAACCGCTCATTTGACACCTCTATGACGAACCATACAAGTGAATCAATTATAAGTTGGTGGAACAAAAATTAAAGATTAAAAGTTAATGTTGCTGCCCAGGATCGAACTGGGGACCTTTAGTGTGTAAGACTAACGTGATAACCACTACACCACAGCAACTTCATGTTACACTAAACGCTAGTAATTAGTTTTATCATTGACTCCCAAATGGGCTCTACCCACATAAATCGAGGCTCCACTATAGGTACTGGACACGGGATGAATAAATAATAATGAAAATAATAGTTTTCGAGTCACTAAAATGATGATAAATCTTGTCGATAAAATAGGTCCTATAACAAGTACATTTCTCATATACATCATTGTTCGGTGGTGCAGGCTTAGAGATATTAAGTACGTTCTATATACGTATCATAAATCTTCGGATGACATCAGATCTATATATTTTTGAATGTCATATTTTTGTGCCAGACCTACAATATTTTGAACTCTATAAAGTTTTAAACTCATACTTTGATAAACTCAAGATTTGGAGCTCATTAACTTTGAGACAAATTTGAATGGACTAAAATGAATCGAATCATTTTAATTTTTACAAAAAATAAATTCATACTCGACGTGATGATATGCTCATATCATGTGAAAAGATTATTTTAAAAGACTAACTAGTTATTACTATTGTTAACTAATGAATCTTTATAAAATTATGAAAAATATGAAGATATAAATTTATCGATGCAACGCCATGATATTTCAATAACTTATTTATGAACTGTAATCTGCTCATTTGATAAGATTATACAAGAATTTGAGAAATATACTATAAATGATTGATTTATAGTAAGTATTATTCTATAAGCTGAAAGGAAATCATAGAGATTTGGTTACTTTAACTAACAGCCTGTAACATATACTCCTTCTATTCGATCTAATCTACGTGATATCGTTCAAATTTCAAGAATTAAAAGAGTTTTTCTTTAATTGCATTTTACTCAATTCTCGAATATGTCAATTAGTTTTATTTTAATTTTTTTTATCAAACTTACAATCAATTTTTTAACTCTAGAAATTCAAATAGTATCACGTAAATTAGGACGAAAGTATATCATTACCCATTATCACAGAAAATCTTGAGATATTTTCAAGCCTGTACTTTAATACGTGTAAAAGAAAAGCTTGCATTTGGTTATTAATTGTTTAGTTTAGTAGGGTAGATGTATTAAGAATTATTTGTATATTCAACTTTATTTATAACTAAACAAAAAATCCCAACTTTATGGAATCGATGAAATTAAGAAGTATCCTAATAATCTAATAAACCTTGTAATCTTTAGCTGTACCACTTAATTAATTAAACTATACATCATAGCTTCCAATATATTTACTAACTTCCTGTACGTGCACTGCGTACATTAGTCCTATTTTTTAAAAATATAATATGAAAACTTTTTAATTAGGAAATATTAGAAAAGTATAATAATTCCTTGGAATGTTGAGAAGGTTTAAGTAAGTATATCCTTCGATAATCTAATATATATATATATATATATATATAAACAAAATAATCAAATTGGGTCTTCTTCTTTCATAAATATATAGTAAATCATATATATATATATATATATATATATATATAATATTTTTGTATACACTATAAATATAGATATATTTTATAAAACAGAAAATGCAAAAATATCAGGTTATAATTTTTCCTTTACATTTATTATATATATGACTTTCTATATGAGTTTGTCTAAGAAGCTGATAATTTATAAGAACAAAATATGCTATATTTGGGAACACGTTCAGATATTTTTATAAAATTTGAATCGAAAGTATCTAATAGAAACACTTTATTATGTATTCAGGTGCTCAATTAAAACAATGCTTAGTTTTAATTTTTACGATTGATATACTCCCTCTATTATATTATTGGTCATTAATGTTGTTACACGTCGTGTAATTAAAGAAAAAGAACAAAATAACGTGTCAATGATTGAATATGGTAAAAGTTAGCCTAAAATAATTATGAAGTGAGTGTGTGATTGGTGATACGTTTGTTGGATAGATAAGGAACGCACGAGGCATGTTTTTGCCTCAACCATAATATATAATTCGTAGACTTGAAGGTTGAAGCCACACCCCCACCTACCATTGGTGGAATCAGAAATTTGACGAAGAATATGTAGAAAATATTTTCCAAAATGTGCAAAATTAACATTTAACTTTTTTATGTCATATAATTTTTTAATAAAGAGTGTGCGCACTAAATCACCCTTTTGATCGTCTAAGGACTAAGGTGGCTTCACCCATGCCACTTGCTATCTTTTCTTGCTTTAATTTTCATTCTTCATAGCTAGGTGAACAAATAAGGATAAAACACCTTTGGTTATTCACATTTGTTACTCTCGCTATTGTGGATGAAATACTTATATATTTTTTGTTTTCATATAGAAAACTCAAATTCGATACCTCTAATTAATGACACAAGATTACTATCTATTCCACTTTAACATTGGAGGTAAGAAGATAGAGTCGTCCATTGGTTATTAATGGAGTACATAATTGCCCCTTAAAATTGTCAGAACATTTCATTTAGATACTCAAACTTATAATCTTTTGTTTCAGTTAAACATCTCGACTCCTAATAAAATGTTTTGATTTGACGGTTTCAACTAAATATTTTGAATTATTTTTATGTATTCTTATTCGTCTATTAAATAATTAAATTAACCACATAAAATATATTACGAAAATTTATTTTTGTACGACTTTTAACAAAGATGAGTTGTCCAAGACCCCAAAAGTGATGAAAAACAAAATTGCATATTTTTAACAGGCTAATAGAGGTGTCAATCACATGAGCATAAAGTTCTACCCTAAAGAGATGCCTAAAGTGAAAGATAGAACGTGAAAATTAAATGGCAATAATATATAAAGCCAATAATAATATTCTCAAGTCAAACTAAATAAGACTTTTTGAGAACTTGATAAAATCATGTTATATATTATTACATAAAAATATTTCAAAGATGCTCCCAATTGAAAATTTTCTATTTTGAAGACTAAGAATCTAAAATTATTGATTAAAATGGAGGAATTCTAACCATTCTGTCATTACATAGGTTGATTGAATGATACTTTTCATTACCATTAGACAACAAGAACGTTCAATTCTTGATTGCTCATTTAAGGTCCCAATCATCCCGAATCCCGTCATTGCACAGGTCGATTGAAAGACACTTTTCATTACCATTAGACTAAGCGGACATTCATTCTTGATTGTTTATTTAAGGTGGGGATTGTTATCCTGTGAATGAGGCTCTATTTTGCGTAAATCTGAATTATGTAGAGAGTATATAAAAAAAAAAAAAAAAAAAATAAATATATATATATAATATTTTTTATATTTAT